GTAAATCTACGTGTATATTCTGTGAATTTAACCTGCCTAGACTAGCTTTAGCTATATGCAGGTTATATAGTTTTTCTTTTTTGTATTCCTTTATTCATCAATAAAGTTTAAAGTATTCATGTAAGGTTCTTTCCAAAGAAGGGAGGAGTTGTAGTGCCGGGATCCTTGTGTCAGGGATCCCTGTGTCATGGGATACACGGAGCACATGGAATGATTTTGTATGTGTAAGTTTAACAACGGCTTCGGAGCGAATAAAGTGAGTTTAATAGGAAGGTTATTCGTCTTTTCCACACTTTGAATTAGAAAAGTTTCCATACAGCAAGATATGGACTCAGTCTGCAGATGTTTTCTTACAGTGTAATTACATCAGCTGTAGAAATTTATCTTCCTAGCTGTAGCTTGCATTAAATACAGAAACTGAAACTTTCCAACCAGTCTGTACTGGTTTCAGAGATTCCCTCCCTCATTTCAAAGTCAGGAGAAACAAAAAAATAACAAGCCTGAATCCAGTTATACTATGTTTTATATATTTTAATAATATCATGTTATTCACATTTTAAAAATGGCGATTTGGAGTTGAGGGATATCATCAAGTGGCTGACTGGAAGTTATGACATCCCCCCACTTGAATTTCCAAAGAAGTTCCAAGTAGAATTTGTTCATGGTTGCTTGCTTGGATGTTGTTGTCGGCCAACTGCTTCAACATGTGATATGCCCATAAAGTTGCCTGTACACAAAAATAGTCCCAAAATGATGGAAGAGATGATTTACTCTTCAATTAAAGAATGTCATGGGTTTGGATTATCATAAATCCAATAATCATTAGTACTGTCACAAGTTTAGAATATGCACATTCATGTTGGTGAGGGAAGTTTGCTTTACCTTTATTGTTCATGTTGTTCAGCATAATAGTCCATTTTACAGATCCTCTCAGTTACTCCAGCTTCGATAGAGTGTAATATATTCTTTAGTTTTTGACTGCATCCCGTGGGAATGTAAGAAATGGACACATCAAACAACAATTATTGAGACCCTTTTAAAATCCCACAGCCTAACTCTAAGAAGTTAAACATCAGCCTGTAAGTGATTGAGCTTCTGATCAACAGCATCTGAATTTTCAGGTAAGAAATAAAGAATGTCTGGTACTCCCGCAACTGTATCGTGATGTTGCCTTCCGATGTAATGACTGTTCCACTGCTGAACGATTTCATCCAGTTCTTTTTGAATTACTCTTGAAAAACAAAACCAAAGGCATTCCATGTGGAAAGAATTTCCAAGTTCATCAATACCAGATTCAAACATGTCTTGGAAAAAATTGAACCACCAATTTAAGTTGCTTCATCTAAAAAAGACCACCAACCTTCAATACGCTGGTTTGATGGGGAAGAACCATAATGGTGAGCTTTTGACGCCGCCAAATTCATCATCTTCATTGGTTCTAAAATAAGATTGCATTGCAGCAACAATAACATTCTCAGTGCCACCATCCGAACGTACAAGTCTTGGACATTCGCATTTTGAACAGCATCCAAGAACAATCAAGCTATGATCTTTGGATTATTGTTTGATTTTACCAGTTCCAGCCAAATTATTCTTCTGCTATATCCACATACACAGCCATGGATCGGGAACCCATATGGCTTCGGCTTGTCATAGCCTATGAAGTTAGACAATAGACAATGTCTTATTTTATCTTATGAAGTTTGACAATAAGACAATGAATGGTGGCCTTTCAGTGCCATTCACATTTATCTGATTAATAAAAAAATCCTGAAACAATTTTTTTTTTTTTTTTAATTTTTTATTTCATTTTTTATTATTTTTTAATTCTTATTTTTTATTTTTTATTTTTCCAAACATCTGACTGCTAACGTCGAGGGACGGTGTCAGAAATACGGCAGAACTGGCCCCTGACCATGGTTCCCATGCAGGGAAAAGAATGTACTATGGAGAACATCAAATATGCTTGCAAAAAAAACATTTCAATACTGAATTGGAGTGTGACATACTAGCAGGAGAGCGCGGGCATTAATACACCGACATTTCACAGATGAAGTCCTTCAAAGTTATTCACATTCGATTCATCGAAGTCCTTGAGCTCGAGTGTGCTGAAGTAAAAACAGCTCACAATATTTACAGTACTAAAGCTACAAATCACCCGGTAAGTCCCTCAAAGTCCCCACCTAAAAAGTGTAAAACAACACCAGCTAAGGTTGCTACTTCTGCACCTGTCAGCACAATGCTTAAATATTGGACAATTTATTGACCAAAAAGTCGAAATCTTAAGCCTTTACTTGGAGGAGTTTTCTATCGCCGAGAGAGAATGATCTAAGCCTTTCCCAGTGAATTTAGCAGTGGACAAATCCCCATTTGCAAGTGAAGGATTTCGTCATGCCTACATGGCTAGCACTATAAATGGACTCCCTGAAAAGAAGTACGTCCTTAAGAGATACAAGGCGGAGGAGATTGAAGGAATAAAAAGATTGACTGGGTCTTTAGAGGTGAAAACTAGAAACGCTGTACAGATGAGCACTCTAGCACGTAATTTTGCCCAAAATATGGAAGTGGAGAGTCCAATGGAGTTTGGAAAGTGTTTTCAATACCCTAAAATATACTTTTCCGGTCTCAATGGAGAGTATATCACACTGGAAAACATTCTAGAAGGGGGGCCCTTTCATGAAATACATGAATAATGATGGGTACGTGTGTGGGGATGAAGTTCATGATCTCAGCCTTAAAGCAGAGGCATATGCTAATTACACATAAGGACAATCTCAGAAACAATTAATTGTACTCGATATACAGGGGATTGCAGGGAGGTGAGGAAAGTCCTATTTCATTGCACAGGACATCTTAGTGAGCAAGCTATCAACTCATTTTTAACGGAACATAGCTGCAATCAATTCTGCTGGATGTTTCAACTTCCTGAGCTGTAAATACCAACTTGTGTAAAATATTATCATCAGCTGGATGGACTGCAGATTAGCCATTACAATCAGCTACTAGATCAACTAATAATTATGATATTAGAGCGATATCACATAACCAATGTTTAGCATGCAAATGAGCTGGTGAGTAAAATAGCATGCTAATGATGTGCTCACGTGGCTACACGCTTCGGTGAATCAGCTAAAGTTTTAAAAAAGACTATAACGACAAAAATTCGCTGGTACAAAATATTTAAAATGAATTATAACGATTTATAAGATATGGGTTTAATGTAAACAACATTTTTTGGGGTTCACATATCTCAAATATCTAAACAATCAAAACATAACAATTTTCATTTAAAGGAGTTTATAGACTGCAGAGTCGAATTTAAGATGTAAACTCCTTTCTATAATATATTTTTGACTTATAATTTCTATGAAATGCATTGATATCGTTCACTACAACTTAATGAAAATATAGAAGGACGGGTTTCCAGTAAATTCTTAGATTTGTTGAAAAAGTCTGACCCGTCTTTCTGCCAAAAACGCCACAAGCTCAATGCAAATTGGCATCAACCACCTTGGATGTCTCCAAATATTTGCTATAGCCTTATAAGTTTTCATGTCCTTGAAAACGTGTTCTACTTTAATGCCTCTTCTTGCCAAACACCTGTTAAATTTCCGAGCTCGCCTTTGGTCTCTAGCGTTCAGTAAATGCATTTGCATCGCTYGTATTGGAGTAAGTAGGGGTCCGCCGTCTGGGTAAGCTCTATCAGTTAGAAAATTAGCGTCACGCGGTAGGCTAAGGGGTTGTCCAGTTCCAATCGGGGTCATAAGCCGGTATGCAGTAGCATCATTAAAACAGTGATAGTGACGGTGGCCACTGTAGAATTGTCTCTGTGGTTCGATTAAGGGCCGATAAATCTCGTGCGGAGTTGAATCAATCGCACCCACTGCATTCGGAAATTCGGGCCAATTACCCATCAAGTTCGCCCATTCCAGATCATTGAGCCATCTTATTTGATTATGGAAGTACTGCCAGAGCTCAGGCAAAACTTTGTAAATGATCCGGACGACAGACATATGATCGATGTCATACAACGCCAGGGTGTCAATATGGGGATACTTCCTCAACCACATGAGCACTAACAAAATTTGGTTGATAAGATTTATCTTTTGTCGCCCTTGACGCTGTCGTGGTTGCCCGCGAACATTCAACTGAAAAAGGTTTGGTGTCAAATCTCTAACCAGTTGTAWAAAAGATCCTGGAGTCTCGCCAGTGTTCCTCCAAAATAACCAACACTGCCCAGAAATAAGAGAAAACAMGTCCCGCCCTCGAAAGTCATATCCGTGAAAACCCGGTAGCAAACGCTGGCTCAAGGAAAAGCGACCACCTCTTAGTGGAGGCTGCAAGGCAACAAAAAGCAGCACGACCGCTATTAAGGTTCGAAGCAAGGACTGTAGCTGTACGAGATCCATCAGGTCTTCTCACATGCATGCACTGTATTTCATGGTTGCATGGTGATGCTAATTAAAAGGACAATACAAATTACAAATTCTTTCATGCATTTTTTCCACTCTCTCAACCATATTTCTCGCCAGTGTTGCGGGTGTTGAGTTTTAGGAGCTGTTCTAAATTTGAAATATTTTCCGCTAATATTCGATTTCCACGAAAATGTGGAGTCCCTTGGAAGTAGAAAGTACCTCTTCAAACGATAGACTCGATGAACAAGAATCAAATAAAGCAGGTAAGTGCCCAGGGAGTTGAAACTGCAGAAAAAGCGCGAATGAAATATTTCAATACTTTGAAATTTTATTAATCATTTCCCTTCAAAATAAAACAGGCACCGAAAAGAAAGCAAGAGCGAATGTAGGTGACCTGGAAAGGAAGTTTATTCTTCAATGCTACAACCTATCCATGGAGAAGGATTGGAAACATGTCCTGTTTACGAAAGAGCGAATACTAGATGCAGAGCTGCCTCAATGTGTTGTGCAGATATACATGGATTCTCCACAAGACCGCGTTATAAACCGCATGAAAAATATCGTCAAGAAGGCCCTCTCATCTCCACTCCCATCCACTTCCACGTCGGCCTCCTCTAAGCCAATATATGTAGAGGAGCAAACCGAAATACAGGAGAACCTGATGAAGTACGCGTCAAAAGGGACCCCAGCCYATAGAAAGTTGCAAAACAAATTGCRTAAGGATTTTACTGCATCCTCCACAGACAGTGACAGCGAAGCAAGACTAGAGCAAAGCAAGAAGAAAATTAAAAGTGATAGGGAAGTTGCAAGAGAAGCTCAAGAAGCACATAAAGATTTGTGTACCAAGGCGATGGACACACTCGAAAGAGTGAACAGTCTGCTAGTCAGTATGGATAATCAAATTAAGAAAACAAATCAAGATAAGCCTGTCTAATGGTTAAATTTGTACGAAAATACTGCATGTTTTGTTGAGCTTATATTTGTAGTTTGGCTGGGTAGGTAATAAAAAAAGGAATAAATTTTCTACTGCTTGACAGCGAATTTTTGTCGTTATAGTCTTTTTTAAAACTTTAGCTGGTTCACCGAAGCGTGTAGCCACGTGAGCACATCATTAGCATGCTATTTTACTCACCAGCTCATTTGAATGCTAAACATTGCTTATGTGATATCGCTCTATTCTGTTATGCCAATGTCACTGTGATAGCATGTGATGATTAACAATTGTGAGTTTACCTATGAAGGGGATTCTCTCAAGCTCTGTCATAGTCAACATCTTCTAGTAATTTTGAATGCTGATCCTTGAAGAATGTCTCTAGCCTTTCAAAAAGCTCTTTCCAAAATCTCTCTATTTTCTATGGAAGGGCCATACATTACAGATTCATCCACCTCAGCTTCATCACAGTACTTGCTTAGGAGATATAGGTGCATTGTTGCCAAATCTACAGTTTCTGTCCCTTTATCTAGCTGCAGACGAGATAACTATGATATGACGATAAACCGCATAACTAAAAAAATTAAACCATGTGATTTATGTTTTACATTTTAATTTAAAATTGTTGTGCAAGTACAAGGATGGTTTAAAGGGTAATACTCTAGAGATAGTGAGTTAAATAAAAGCATTGTCCCTTACTGTTATGATTGCTGCATTTCAGCAGSAACTGTTATGTATATGGGTTTCCTGTTTTACATCCAGGAACCTTGTGGTTTCGGGAGGATGCCATTTTAATAAATAAAACTTAACATGGTGTCAGGATAAAAAAAAGAAGAAAAATGGGCAGATTACAACCTCCAACTGAACTGAGAATGACTGGAAATGTAGCAGAAAACTGGAGACGCTTTAAGCAGCAATTTGAAATATACAAAATCGCTTCAGGGTTAGATGAAAAAGATGAGAATTTTCAAGCGATGACAATAATGCACGTGGTCAGAGCTGAAGCCCTGGAAGTGTACAACGCATTTCAGTGGGACAACGAAGACGACAAAATCGATATTGAGGAGATTATGGCCAAATTCGAAAGATATTGCAATTCTTGTAAGAATATAACTTTTGAAAGGCACTTGAATTAGTGATTTGTGACGGACTGCTGATGAAGGGTGATCGCGTGATAACACCCATAAGCTTACAGCCAGAGATGTTCAACAGGATACATAGTAGTCACCTGTGAATAGAGAAAGGTTTAGATTGAGCAAAGGAAGGTCTATTTTGGCCGGGGATGAGCAAGCACATACAGGAGAAAGTTTCGACACGTCCTGTCTGTAACAGACATAGCAACAATCAAACCAAAGAGCCATTGATACAGCATGAGGTACCTGAGAGGCCATAGCAAAAACTGGCAGCAGACTTGCTTGTAGTTAATCAACATAAATATCTTGTACTTGTTGACAAGTATTTTGAACTGTCACATTTAAAGGCCAGTACCAGTAGCACAGTAATCAACTGCTTAAAACAACACATGTCCAGACATGGTATACCAGAGGAGCTGCTTACTGATAATGGGACAAAGTTTGCTAGCTAAGAGTTCGGTCAATTTGTAAAGGCATGTCAATTCCAGCACACGACATCTTCACCCAGATACCCACAAAATAATGGCATGGTAGAGAGGACTGTTCAAACAGCCAAGAAACTTCTGCAGAAAGCCTATGAAGACCATTAAGATCCCTACCTAGCCATACTCGAGTTAAGAAACACTCCATCCACCACACATAGAAAGAGGAGACATGGAATCAAAAATGAATGAACTTATGCCAAGCCAAGCAAAGGATAATAGAGCTTATATGACCAAGCCAGATGTAAGTGATGAGCCACCTGTAATCAGTAGGGTCAGCGGTAGAGTCATCAGACCACCACTCAGATACAGAGAATAATAGGAAAGAAACATTGCTTCAGTGATGGGAACATTGAAAACATTTATTGAATCTGAACTCTGAAACACCATTATCATTATAGTTTGTCTTACTGTTGTCTAGTCTTTAATTGTTGCTGAAAAGGGAGACGTTATGYATATTGGTTTCCTGAGTTACATCCTGGAACCTCGTGGTTCGGGAGGATGCCATCTTAATAAATAAAACTTAACAGGAGCTCTGATTTCAGTATTTACTACATACCTTTAGACTCATATAAGTAATCCAAGTAATAGCGGCCAATTATTTTGGGATTACTGTTGGATGTTGATATGCATAGAAATTGAATTTTACCACTGTAAGTGTCTAGACCTCCATAAACACAGAGTGGGAATGTTGCATTTTGAAAGCCACATAACTCGTAATGGCCATCAAGGGACATTATCCAATCAGAGCCCTAAAAAAGAAAACAAAAAGAGCAATTAAGGGCTTCTCTGCATATTTTAGCGTACTAACAATAACAGCTCAAGCTATATTTGAAATTAAGAACTTAAGAGTGGATGTCCCTAAATGTCAACTACCGCGGGAAAATCGAAAAAAATCGAAAATTCCTAAAATATTCCAGAAGAAAGCCTTTGTGGTTCTTATTACCAGAAAAATACTTTTAGGATATTCCGCTTTTTAAATAGCGATTTTTTAAATGTTTTGTAATTCACRCCTAAAACGGCGATTTTGAGAGACGAATAAGGCCGAGTTTTACCGATGTACCTTGTCCCAAATTTCTTCAAAATTTTTAACATTTTGTTTTCTACAGGTGATTTGAAGTTCGCCTAACCTTCTTCGCTTGATTATTTAAAATTGGCATGCAACGAAATTTTTTTTTTGATTTTTGAAGAAGGGCCTAATTTATTCAGTTTTGACAAAGTCAAATATTGACCATTTTCGAAAGCATTAAAAGTCAACTGGTAC